CAGGATAGCCAGGATAGCGTCCACTGGCTGCGGGGATATGACCGATATAAGCCGGACGATTCTGGCTGAATTCTCGCCTGTTGACAGATTTTACAAAGACAAAAAGGGTTCATGCCTTGGTCAATTCGCAAGTTTTTTTTCGGGGAAACCTTTGCAAATTTTCCCGTTCACGTCCAGGGCAAACACGAAAAATCTTGCGTGTTTGATCCTGTTTGCATTGTCATTTTTTGCATTTTTAGGTGATCAGGCACTCTTTCGTAGGTGTGAATCTCAGCCGCCAAAACGTGGTGCCGAGTGTGCCTTTGTTCCCAAACTTAAGACGATGATGACCTTGGAATGTTGTTGGGAACAATTCTTCTCGAAAAAAATGCAGGTGACGTTTGCATCGCAAGTGCTGCAGGTGATGATTTCTTCACGCACTGGTCGTTTTATGATGGCCCCGATCCCACGCACGGAACGGCTTGGGACTGAGAAGCATCCGTGCAGAACTGATGTGGAACGCGTTTCCAACTACCACCTGATTCCAGGTGGAATTTGTTACGTTTGAAGAGGCAAGTGGCAAAGGCGTGGCCATGATTTGGTAGGGAAAAATGGGAAAAATGGGAAAAATGGGAAAAATGGGAAAAATGGGAAAAATGGGAAAGTGTCTATGACTACATATGACCACATATGACTACCATGACACATTTCAACATTCCTTCGTGGTCAACGTGTCGCAGGGCGGATCAATGTTTTGATCTCAGGTTTGATCTCGGCAGCTTTTGACCGCGTCTACATGGGTGTGGACGCAACTGAGGCTGCAAGAAGATTCAGATGATTTCAGTACTGAAATCACATGAAATCACTACACGTTCCCGACCTCTGTTTTGATATGTTTTGATCGTCATGGCAATGTGGAGGTGCTCAGCGGTTCCCAAGGCCGCAAAGCTGTGTCTTGGCTTACCCAATGCTTTTCATGCCATGCAACTAGTAATATTGCATTGTGGCCGCTGGGGGCGTAGCACTTTACCACCCGAAGACGAAGACGAATTCCGAAGACGAATTCCCCTTAGAGGATCATTCCACCCGAAGACGCGAAGACGAATTCCGAAGACGAATTCCCCGAAGACGAATTCCCCCCCGAAGACGAATACCGAAGACGAATTCCCCGCAGACGAATTCCCCCCGAAGACGAATTCCCCCCCGAAGACGAATTCCGAAGACGAATTCCCCGAAGACGAATTGCCCCCCGAAGACGAATTCCTCCCCGAAGACGAACTGCGAAGACGAATTCCCCGAAGACGAATTGCCCCGCGAAGACGAATTCCCCCCCGAAGACGAATTCCCCCCCGAAGACGGAACTTCCGAAGACAAATTCCCCGGCAGGACGAATTACCCCCGTAATTCCCCCCCGAAGACGAATTCCGAAGACGAATTCCCCGCAGACGAATTCCTCCCCGAAGACGAATTCCCCTCCGAAGACGAATTCCCCCCCAAGACGGGTTCTGAAGACGAATGGCACACTTCCAAGCATGGCAGTTGAAACGACCTTTGGCGCCAGGGGTCGTTTCTGTGGATTCCGAATGGCGACGATCTGCAGGTATCTGTAGGATTCTGTAGGTTCAATATGGTTTGGATTGGTTTGGCTTGATGCAGACACACACCACAGCAAAACACGTCATCATTATATAACTTTTTATTGAACCATCATTCCAAACTGGGCCAAGTAATTTTCAGCCGTACCCAGAGGATCCGCGGACATCCCCCCGGCAATATCCCTTACAAAGCAAGGAGCTCGGGCTCCCAAAACCACCAAGTTTTGCACAAGCACCTTCCTCTACAAAGCTTGGATCTCATGCTCTGACATTGATGCTAAATTAACTATTTTTTCAACATAAATGAATCCTAACTTTGTAGAGGGCGGCTTTGAGCCTGATGTGAAAATTTGTAAAAAATAGTAACCTATATCCAGCTTTGTAGAGCCAGACCCTTCTGATTTTCAATCAGTTTCAATTTCGTAACCCAAAGAGACTTCATAGCTTCACCGTTTGAAATTTGTAGTGGGAGTGGGTTTGTCTGCAGGAGTAAACAGGTTGAGGTTTGTAAGGTGTAGACTGGCCAGATGTTAAGGAAGTCAAAAAGTGACAACATGTTTTTTAAGAATATTCATTTGGTTTCATCGACAACCGCCATTGATTCAACATGATTCCAATAATATTCATTATTATTAATTACCGAAGTTCAACTTATCATCATTATAATAGTTGGTCGAACCATTCACACCATCATTGTCATCACTATCATCATCATCACCATCATCATCATCAACATCATCATCATCATCATCATCACCATCACCATCACCATCATCATCATCATCACCATCACCATCATCATCCTCATCCTCATCCTCATCGCCATCATGTTCAGCGTCTTTTCTTCATCATCACCATCATCACCGTCATCAACATCATCATCAGCAGGATCACATTCATAATCATAATCGTCATCATCAGCATCATCATCATCATCGTCACCATCATCATCATCATCATCATCGTCATCATCATCATCATCATCATCATCATCATCGCCATCATCATCACCATCATCATCACCATCATCATCGTATCATCATCCTACTAATCCATCTCATCATCATCAGTATCATCATCACCGTCATCATCATCATCATCATTATCATCATCATCATCATCATTCATCATCATCATCATCACCATCATCAACATCATAGGCATCTTCATCTGTCAGTGGGAACCTTTTGTTAATTTGCTGGCCGGGGGTGAACACCAGACTTAGCACGTGTCCAAACTTTAAACTCCACCAAATAATAATAAATATGTTGTTTCCTGCGGGGAAACCCACTGAGTAAGCTATGGGCTTGATAGCAAGAAACACAATTCTGCTCATTATTGTTGGAAGCTTCACAATCTTCAACAATGAATGATGCCATTGAATCTTGATATATCTTGATGATTTGAATCTGAGCATATGATCCGAATCATCCATAGCATTTTTGGGTTCAGCTATCCAACAGAACAGGGCAAAAATGACCCTGGAACAAATGATCCGGATTTTAGAAGCGATCAAAGATGATAAGCTGTGCCTGTCGTGCAGTTTCCTTTCATCTTGCCCTGGCTAGAAGAGTCCCTTAGGCCAAGCCAATGGTATATCTTTTTTGATAGATTTATTTCTATTTGGTTTCGATGGATTGGATGACTAGTATTTTTAATTGAATTATATTGAATTTACGTAAGGCTGAAATTAGTCAACTAAGGCCAGACCTTAGTGCCTTGCGATGCCTTGGTAGGGATTGTCATTGTGACACCCTGGCTCCGATACTGTTATGCTCGATCAATGGGAATCAGATGGCGAGGAATTGGAGATTGAAGGCAACTGACTGATAGCTGGTGGTTTAATTTTTTGGCCCGGTAAAAAATCCTGGTGCTAATTAAATGGAGTGGCATTAGACACTCGGTTCGACTACATGACTTCGGGGGCTTGCCGATAGAAAACTGCGTTGGGATCGAAGGGGGAATGATTCAACCAACTTACCTGGCACTCATGGAATCCCTAATCACTATCTAAAATACTATGATTACAATGGTTGAATATGTCGGACTTGACTTTTACTAGGTAAAGCACGGCTTTTTACTGGCGCCAATGGGTAACCCCATTTTGGACACCCCATACAATGTAATTTGAATATATCATGGGTTAAACAGTTCCTCAATTGTTCTAATAATATATAATATATTCCAATTATCACACCACGGCTGAGCCCATGGGATTCCAGTGGATGAAGCCGTTATTGAAAGTCATGATGTTTCTTCATCAGACCGACAAGGTGTGACATCAATTCTTTGGGAGAACACGGCAAAATTGTTTGACGCCACATCCATCGCTGGATCATTGATTGCACACCTTGGCTCATTTTGTGAAGGCCATCTTTCTTTTCGTATGTCTGCAATTTTTAAGGTACAGTGCAAGAGAAGAGTGGATAGCGTAGCAGCAAGTCCAAGAGAATATCTTGTAAGACGGCCAGCCAAGAACGTTATTAGCCCCCCCAACCCCCCCCAAAAAAACGAGAAACAACAATGCAAAAATCAAGAGTGTCTTGCAAGTTAAAAAAAGAAGTTGATAGCGTGTGGCAAGGTACAGTGCAAGAGAAGAGTGGATAGCGTAGCAGCAAGTCCAAGAGAATATCTTGTAAGACGGCCAGCCAAGAACGTTATTAGCCCCCCCGAACCCCCCCCAAAAAAAAAACAACCCCCAAAGAAAAAACAATGCAAAATAGTGCAACGTGCGCGCGCTCCTAGAGCCGCCCACGCCAAAAAACTCCACCCCAACACGGCCGTCTATAAGCCGTGGTCCAACTACTTCCCAGTACTACTTTGTGCTACAAAGCTTGCACAAAGCACTTCCCAGTATTACTTTGTACTACAAAGCTTGCACAAACTACCTCCCATTACTACTGTGTACTACAAAGCTTGCACAAAGCACGTCCCAGTACTACTTTGTACTACAACTTGCACAAAGTATTTCCCAGTACTACTTTGTACTACAAAGCTTGCACAAAGTATTTTCCAGTACTACTGTGTACTACCAGTAGTACCCGCACGAGGTGGGGCGGAAGTTGCCTTAGGGATATACTATAAGACCTTTCTCATCTATAGAACTTGCATGCGCCGTGCGCCAGCCAGGCTCGTGCGCGCGTGCTTTGTGCGACGGTGATGCACTGTTCCAAAGTCGGGCTTGAAACTCCACACTTCACACTGCACTCTTCACACTTCACACTTCGCACTTACACTTGGCACTCCACACTTCAAACTTCACACTGCACTCTTCGCACTCCACACTTCACTTCACACTGCACTCTTAGGACTCCACACTTCACAGTCCACACTTCACACTTCTCCCTGCTATCTTCACACTCCACACTTCTCACTTCACACTCCACACTTCACACTTCACTCTTCACACTGCGCTCTTCACGCCCCACGCTTCACACTGCACTCTTCACACTCCACACTTCAGATTCCACACTTCATCTCATCTGAGCTCTTCTCACCTTATCCCAGCTCATCTCTTCTCATATGTCATCAAAGCTTTTCATGAATCACTTCCCAGTACTACTTCGAGAACTTGCATGTGCCGTGTGCCCGCCAGGCCGGTGCGTGCGTGCTTTGTGCGAAGCTGTTGCAGTGTTGTTGTCCAAGAACATGACCTGCGCGCGACCCCGGTGCAATGCAACGCCAAGCGAAGACTTTCCTCACACTTGACACTTGCACTTCGCACTGTCGCGTCTTGGAAACACCGGAAACAGAAACGTGTTTTGTAGCAAAGAAATGCAAATCCCCATTTCTTTCTTTGCTGCCTTCTTGAAATCTTTATGGCATGCCTTCTTGAAATCTTGCTTGCAGTCATACCCCGTCATGCATCATTGATTCCATACCCTTCATTGAAGCCAAACAGAGCTGCGAGCATCATAGCATGACTTTTTCGGTAGGTCGGCCAAAGTCAACTACAGATAGATGACGCTACCACAAAAATTACTTTACTTCGAGTTATCCCCACCATGACATTTATACATTTTGTTATTGGCAAACCTTCTGGCATTCTATCTGACATACCTTCTGGCATTTTATCTGGCATATCTTCTGGCATTCTATCTGGCATATCTTCTGGCATTCTAGCTGGCATGTCTTCTGCAATCTGTTCTGGCATATCTTCTGGCACTCTATCTGGCATATCTTCTGGCATATCTTCTGACATTCTATCTGGCATTCTATCTGGCAAATCTTCTGGCATTCTATCTGGAAAACATTATGGCACTTTATCTGGCATACCTACTGGCATTCTATCTGACATTCTATCTGGCATACCTACTGGCATTCTATCTGGCATTCTTTCTGGCATTCTATCTGGCATATCTTCTGACATTCTATCTGACATATCTTCTGACATTTTTTCTGGCATATCTTCTGATATTCTTTCTGACATTCTTTCTGGCATTCTATCTGGCATATCTTCTGACATTCTATCTGACATCTTTTTGTGACATTCTTCCCGTTGAGGTCCGGCAGTGCCCACTGCGATCTGGAAGTCGCGGTTGAGGTCCGGCAGTGCCCACTGCGATCTGGAAGTCGCGGTTGAGGTCCGGCAGTGCCCACTGCGATCTGGAAGTCGCGGTTGAGGACCGGCAGTGCCCACTGGGATCTGGAAGTCGCGGTTGAGGTCCGGCAGTGCCCACTGGGATCTGGAGCTCGCGGTTGAGGTCCGGCAGTGCCCACTGGGATCTGGAGCTCGCGGTTGAGGTCCGGCAGTGCCCACTGCGACCTGGAATTCGCGGTTGAGGTCCGGCAGTGCCCACTGCGATCTGCAACTCGCGGTGGAGGTCCGGCTGTGCCCACTGGGATCTGGGCGGAGGAGGAGGAGGAGAAGAGCTCTGTTAAAATCTAGCGGCCCTCACCTGGCAGGTGGGGAAATAGAACTCATCAAAGTCTTTCATCCGCCATGCCCCCATAATTGTTTCATCTTTCATGTCCAATCCGCAGTATTGTACAACGTCCATACAGAAGCCTTTTTCTAAGTGGTGTCTTTAGCAACACATCGCCACCGTGGTTTCTTACCAAGAGTTCGATAGCTTGTTCCTAGACATGAATGGAAAACAGACTCCAGAGACCGAGTTGCAAAACACAAAAGGTGCAAAACGCAAAAGACGCAACAGCGTCTGAAATTGCAGCTCCAAAACCGGATCTCGACGCCAAAGCAGAAAAAAGACGATTTTGAAGCACTCTTTAAAAGGATTTTTACAAGGAAAATTACTAGCGCCAAAATTGCGAAAATCTGCTGACAAATCAACATCGCAGCCTGGATGTAGCCACTCCAATACGATTTACGATCTTCAGCTGCAAAAGAGAATAGTATTACGCATGCAGCCGCGGCAGCAAGCAACCTTGACGCAGCCATTCCAATGCGATCTGCCAAGCACGGATTCAAGAAACGCATAGAACTACCTACGCACACAGGAACAAGCACTCGTTTCAAAACACAGAGGAGGAACCAAACGACCCCAGCCGCAACCGCCGCACACATACACGAGGTAGCCACTTTACACGGAAAAACACAAGGTTTCGTGCTCCGGCTTCCTCCCCACAACACAGAGCATGCAACATTCATGCAGCCATTCCAATGCGATCTGCAAGCACAGATTCAAGAAACGCATAGAACTACGCACACAGGAACAAGCACTCGTTGCAAAACATAGAGGAGGAACCAAACGACCCCAGCCGCAACCGCCGCACACACACGAGGTACCTTTCATCGCCGGCCGCAGCCAACACAGAGCATGCAACATTCATGCAGCCATTCCAATGCGATCTGCAAGCACAGGTTCAAGAAACGCATAGAATTACGCACGCAGGAACAACAGAACAACCACTTGTTGCAAAACACAGAGGAGGAACCAAACGACCCCAGCCGCAACCGCCGCACACACGAGGTACCTTTCCATCGCCGGCCGCAGCCACTTTACACGGAAAAACACAAGGTTTCGTGCCCCGGCTTCCTCCCCACAACACAGAGCATGCAACATTCATGCAGCCATTTCCCTTCGTCACCACTTCCCATCCTCACCACTTCCCTTCGTCACCACTTCCCTTCGTCACCACTTCCCTTCGTCACCACTTCCCTAGGTCACCACTGCCCTTCGTCACCACCCTGTGTCATAGCCTCTTATTCTTTTGTGATGTATTGTTATGGGATGTTAAGTCTCAGACCACCCTGTGTCATAGCCTCTTATTCTTTTGTGATGTATTGTTATGTGATGTCAAGTCTCACACCACCCTGTGTCATAGCCTATTATTCTTTTGTGATGTATTGTTGTGCGATGCTAAAGACACACACCACCCTTCATCAATGTCAAATCTCACAATTCTATTTGTCCGTAACACGGAAGTATTGCTTCCCAACTTCCTTTGATAATTCAATTAAAAATACTAGTCATCCAATCCATCGAAACCAAATATATAGAAATAAATCATAATAAATCTATCAAAAAAGATATACCATTGGCTTGGCCTAAGGGACTCTTCTAGCCAGGGCAAGATGAAGGGGAAACTGCACGACAGGCACAGCCTATCATCTTTGATCGCTTCTAAAATCCGGATCATTTGTTCCAGGGTCATGTTTGCCCTGTTCTGTTGGATAGCTGAACCCGAAAATGCCACGGATGATTTGGATCATATGCTCAGATTCAATTCATCAAGATATACCAAGATTCAATGACATCATTCATTGTTGAAGATTGTGAAGCTTCCAACAATCATGAGCAGAATTGTGTTTCTTGATATCAAGCCCATAGCTTACTCAGTGGGTTACCTCGCAGGAAACAAAACTTATTATTTTTGGATGGGGTTTAAAGTTTGGACACGTGCTAAGTCTGGTTTTCACCCCCGGCCAGTAAATTAACAAAAGGTTCCCACTGACAGATGCTGATGCTGATGTTGTTGATGATGATGATGATAATTAATGATGATGATGATGATGGTGATGATGGTGATGATGATGACGATGGTGATGATGATGGTGATGGTGATGATGATGTTGATGATGATGATGGTGATGATGATGATTTTGATGACAATGATGGTGTGAATGGTTCTACCAACCATTATAATGATGATAAGTTGAACTTCGGTAATAATAATGAACATTATTGGAATCATGTTGAATCAATGGCGGTTGTGGATGGAACTAAATGAATATTCTTTATAAAAACATGTTGTCACTTTTTGGCTTCCTCAACATCTGGCCAGTAGACTGGTCCTTGTTCTGTAGGTTTGAACTTTGTAACTGCCTGTCACCGTTGCCGTTTTTTCTGCTGGGAGATAAGATTTTTCTCAATGATTTGATGAGATGTTATGATACTATGACATTTATTATGACTATGAATGAATGAATGAATGAATGGATGAATGAATGAATGAAAGAAAGAAATGAATGAATGAATGAATGAAATGAATGAATGAATGAATGAATGAATGAATGAAATGAATGAATGAATGAATGAATGAATGAAATGAATGAATGAATGAATGAATGAATGAATGAAATTGAATGAATGAAATTGAATGAAATGAAATGAAATGAAATGAAATGAATGAAATGAAATGAAATGAAATGAAGTGAATGAATGAATGAAAGAAATGAAAGAAATGAATGAATGAATGAATGAATGAATGAATTGAAATGAAATGAAATGAAATGAATGAATGAATGAATGAATGAATAAATGAATGAACGAATGAATGAATGGAATGAATGAATGAATGAATGAATGAATGGATGAATGGGTGAATGAATGAGTGAATGAATGAATGAGTGAATGAGTGAATGCGTGAATGAGTGAATGAGTGAATGAGTGAATGAGTGAATGGAATGGACTGGACTGGAATGGAATGGAATGGAATGGAATGAAATGAAATGAAATGAAATGAATGAATGAATGAATGAACGAACAGAAAAGGCAAACAAGTGAGAGATGAGCTGATGCGATGCCCAACCACAAGTCGGAACCGAGATTGGAGATACATATTAACCTACCCAGATAATTACTGGAATTAATTATATTATATCCTCACCAATAGGCAAATATATAGTTGACTTGAACCTGGATATAGGTTAAGGGCTAGGCATCTTATTGGCCATAGCCAAGCATACACAACCCCGTTGCTCAACTAAAATGACCCCCGAGCCCAGGGGTCATTTTATAACGTGGCATTAAAGAATATGTCGTCAGAATGCGGCGTCAGGGGGGAATGTGGTCAGGGAATGTGGCGTCAGAATGTGGCGTCAGGGGGGAATGTGGCGTCAGGGGGGGAATGTGGCGTCAGGGAATGTGGCGTCAGAATGCGGCGTCAGGGGGGGAATGTGGCGTCAGGGGGGAATGTGGCGTCAGAGAATGTGGCGCCAGAATGTGGCGTCAGGGGGGAATGTGGCGTCAGGGGGGGAATGTGGCGTCAGGGAATGTGGCGTCAGAATGTGGCGTCAGGGGGGAATGTGGCGTCAGGGGGGAATGTGGCGTCAGGGAATGTGGCGTCAGAATGTGCGTCAGGGGGAATGTGGGTCAGTGGCAGGGGTGGAGAATGTGGCGTCAGGGAATGTGGCGTCAGGGGGAATGTGGCGTCAGGGAATGTGGCGTCAGAATGTGGCGTCAGGGGAATGTGGCGTCAGGGGGGGAATGTGGCGTCAGGGAATGTGGCGTCAGAATGTGGCGTCAGGGGGGAATGTGGCGTCAGGGGGCGGAATGTGGCGTCAGGGAATGTGGCGTCACAGCATCAGGGAATGTGGCGTCAGAATGCGGCGTCAGCGTCAGGCCGTAAAGTGCTACACCGTCTGCCGCCACCCTGTTTGAGTATTGCATAGTATTGCATTATTGCATCTTAGTTTGTCCCGTCATCCGGTTCTTTTGTTTTACGATGCTGCTTTTCTTTCTCCCGGAGAATGGCTTTAGGTGTATCCATGGTGTATCCATGTCAGAACTTGCATTTTACATCATTTTGCAACGAATTCTTGTTCCTTCTCTTGTTCACGCCTCCGTTGTTGCATCATGAAGCATCGCAATCTTCAATCTTTCAAGAACTTTGGGTTCACCTCAGGTACGACTCGAGCCGTGATCTGAGACTTTGTTGTTCGACGGCGAAACTGTCAGGAAAATAGGATAAAATATGATAAAATCAAAACCGGCGCTGTCCACAGACCTTGCCCGTGTCACACGTGTCACACGTGTCACACGTGTCACAGTGTCACAGAATGTGAAGAGCATACTCTCGAGTCTATGGAGTCTATGGAGTTGCCGGTTGCATCAGCAGCATCGATCTCTAAACTCAGTGCCGTTGAGATTCAGCACCGCACCCCTTCACTTGAGACGGTGGAACTTGTCGGGGTAATTTTGAGCCCAGGTCGAATGAGTGGTTCAAAGATGGCCTCTTTATCATCGAACTCGACCATGTGTTGTGCTCAATTGGTCCAATGGTCCAAGCTCTTTTCTGAGTGCATAGAATCAGCGTCAAGAAACAGAAACGGAGACAGACGGACAGACATGAACATTTGTAACGATTTGTATATAATTGAATTATAATTACATATTATACCAGTAGTACCCGCACGAGGCGGGGTGGAAGTTGCCTTAGGAATATACTATAAGACCCTTATCATCTATAGAGCTTGCATGCGCCGTGCGCCAGCCAGGCCTGCGTGCGTGCTTTGTGCGAAGCTGTTGCCGTGTTGTTGTCCAAGAATATGACCTGAGCACAATCACATTACAATGCAACGCCAAGTATATAAACCTTTTCTTCAGACTTCATACTGTACTCTTCACACCCCGCACTTCACACTTCGCACTTCACACTCCACACTTCATCTCATCTCACATCATGTAAGCTCTTCCAACTCATCTCACCTCATCTCAGCAAGTAAGTTCTTCTCAACTGTTTTCATCTCGTCCCAGCACTGATCAACCTTCTCAATTTCTCATCTCCTCGAAGTTCTTCTCAACTCATCTCAGCTGTTCTGCACGCCAGAAAGCTCTTACTGTCAGAGAAAAGTCTCTTGCACAAAATTACCATTGGGCACAGAAAGCTTTTGCACACAGAAGCTTAAGACACAAATGCATTTACAGAGAAAAGCCTTTCCAGAATACTTTGTATTACAAAACTTGCACAAAGCACTTCCTAGTTCTACTTCGTGCTACAAAGCTTGCACAGAGTACTTCCCCTGTACTACTTTGTGCTACAAAGCTTGAACAAAGCACTTCCCAGTACGACTTTGCACTACAAAATTTGCACAAAACACTTCCAAGTAGTACTTTGTACTACAAAGCTTGCACAGAGTGCTTCCCCTGTACTACTTTGTGCTACACAGCTTGCACAAAGTACTTCACACTAAGACTTTGTACTACAAATTTTGCACAAAACACTTCCCAGTAGCACTTTGTACTACAAAGCTTGCACAAAGCACGTCCCAGTACTACTTTGTACTACAGAGCTGGCACAAAGTACTTCCCAGTACTACTTTGTATTAGAAAGCTTGCACAAAGCACTTCCCAGTACTACTTTCCACTACAAAGCTTGCCCAAAGTACTACTCAGTACTACTTTGTACTACAAAGCTTGCACCAAGCACGTCCCCAGTACTACTTTGTACTACAAAGCTGGCACAAAGTACTTCCCAGTACTACTTTGTATTAGAAAGCTTGCACAAAGCATTTCCCAGTACTACTTTCCACTACAGAGCTCGCCCAAAGCACTACTCAGTACTACTCAGTACTACTTTGTACTACAAAGCTTGCACAAAGCACGTCCCAGTACTACTTTGTACTACAGAGCTGGCACAAAGTACTTCCCAGTACTACTTTGTATTAGAAAGCTTGCACAAAGCATTTCCCAGTACTACTTTCCACTACAAAGCTTGCCCAAAGTACTACTCAGTACTACTTTGTACTACAAAGCTTGCACCAAGCACGTCCCAGTACTACTTTGTACTACAAAGCTTGCACAGAGAAATTTTTGGCACACAATGACAACAGAAATTGCAGCTCCAAAGCCGGATCCCGGCGCTAAAGCGACAAAAAACATTTTGAAGCACTTTTTAAAATAGGAAAATCACCAGCGCCAAAATTGAGAAAATTTGCTGACAAATTGCTATCGCAGCCTTGAGGCAGCCACTCCAATACGAATTACGATGTCCAGCAGCAAAAGACAATAGTATTGTGCATGCGGCCGTGGCAGGAAGCAACTTTGAAGCAGCCATTACAATGCGATATCGAGATAATATTGACTTGCAAAACGCAACAAAGCAGGAAAAAAAACGATTTTGAAGCATTTCTTCAAAGGAACTCTAAAAGGAAAATCCCCAGCGCCAAAATTGAGAAAATCTGCTGACAAATCATTATCGCAGCCTTGATGCAGCCACTCCAATACGCTTTACAATGTCCAGCTGCAAAAGACAATACTATTGCGCATGCAGCCGCGGCAGCAAAGCAACCTTGACGCAGCCATTCCTCTGCGATATGCCACCAAAGATTCAACAAGCGCATAGAACTACGCACACATGAACAACCACAGGTGGCAGAACACCAAGAGAACCGCTTACGCCCCAAACAATCGCAGCCGCACCCGCCGCACAGAGGAGGTACCTTTCATCACCGGCTGCAGCCCCACTACACGGAAAACGCAAGGTTTCGTGCTCCAGCTTCCTCCCCAAAAGAAAGCCCATGCAACATTCATGCAGCCACTACATTGCGTTTTGCAGCATCACGTGTCTAACCCGCATGTTTCGACACTCGTGGCCGAAAAACGTAGCAACAATCATGCAGCCATTACACTGCGATCTGCAACCAGAGACTCAACAAGCGCATAGAACTATGCACGCATGAACAACCACACGTGGCAGAACACCAAGGGAGAACCGATTACGCCCCAAACGATCGCAGCCGCATCCGCCGCACAGAGGAGATACCTTTCATCGCCGGCTGCAGCCACTCTACACGGAAAAACGCAAGGTTTCGTGCTCCGGCTTCCTCCCCAAAACAAAGCCCATGCAACATTCATGCAGCCATTACAATGCGTTTTGCTGCAGCACGTGCAAATTCATTCGTCTCAGTCACCATCCTTCGTCGCCATTACCTTAGTCACCATCCTCCGTCACCACCCTCCGTCACCACCCTTCGTCAGCACCCTTCGTCATCACTTCCCTCAATCACCACCCTTCGTTGCCTTCTTTTATGTGGTGAATTGTTGTGCGACGTGTTGTCACCAATTCACCACGCTTTGTCAGATGTATTGGTGTGTGATGTATTGTTATGTGATGTAAAGTCACTTGAATAAAAATCATCCGTAGCTCGGAAAACTGTTTCCCAACTTCCTTTGATAATATACATTACATGACATGACATCTTTAATATAATACATATAGTATATTAATAAATGATCGATATATAATATATATATAAGTAAATAAATGAATATATTTATATATAATATACACATAATATACACATATTAATAAATAGGTATATTTTTGTATTTACCTTTGTGCATTTGGAGAGTCAGATAAACTTAGTGATGTTCAAATGTGGCACGTGGCCTACGTAGGCTGCTGTTTCATCATTGCATCGCCACTGGCCTAAGGCACCGATTGCGTGCGGAGCGTGGCCGGCTTTCTGGATGTATGGTGAGGCCGGCGTTCCACGACATGTTCAGACCATCGGCAGATGCAGTTTATGCAGTTTAGGCAATTTGTAGTGAAGATGATGGAGCCACTGATCAAATGGATTTATAATAGATTTACAACTCAGTGTGTGATTCATTGACTCATTTTGTGACTCATTCGTCATTCGTCATGTCTTGAAGCAGCGACCGCCTTTGGTTGCACGCCTGGATTCTCCTTTCGTGAGGACTCGCAGCATGTTCTGCTCTGAGAAACTTCCGATCCAAACCTCCAAACCTCCCAGTGGTCTCCACATGTCTCCACAGTCGATCTCACCAAGGCTTGGCCTCGGTGGGGCGAGTATGACATCCTGGAAGCTGTGCACAACCAGACCTATGCCACAACCACGTTGCATACGCGGTCCAATTGTGTGCCTTGTCAAGCACCCAAAACTGTGGGAATGTGTGGAATGTGTGGAATGTGGTCTCAGCAAGCAGACTCAAAGGTTGGTTTTGAAGATGCCATACTTGTGTTTCTATGCCCAGTTGCGAATTTGTTGGAATTAGATTTCCCAAAAGCCGGCAGAGGACCAGTATGATGTGAACAAAGACGTGGACTTCTCTGGCTCTGCTTGGGCTGGTAATGAGCAAGGCGGTCCTGCCAAGAATTGCTGGGTCCATGCAGGGAACCCCAAGGATTTGTTCACATTGGCAACATGTGAAGTCTCTGAACATCCTTTGGGCATCTTTGGGCCTCGTCTCGCTCAGAAACCTGAGGATGTGATGTGATGTGATGTGATGTGATGTGATGCCATGCTTGACTTAGGCCCCAAACGAATACGAAAATCAGGGCTGCGGCCAGAAGCAGTGCGATTCTGAGCGCTGTGTCATGCCTTCCGTGGTGCCCATGGATGCCCATGGTACCCGTGGTGTTCTCATGCACCGCACTGAGGCCACAGGGTTCCTGGGGTACAGCTTTGAATCAGGCGCCAGTTGCGCTGGCGCTGAAAGTTGTGCTGCAATGCGCTTTGCTGCGCTGCATGTGGAGATGGACATCGAATTGGTCCCATTTTGGTCCGATGATAGGCTGGAGGTGGTACATGGGCAGCTGAATGGGACCCTGACCGCAGGAAGATTCGCCTGGACCTGAGTAATCCTTTGGGGCGGGCGATTCCGCTGCGTTTCCCGCGGCGTGGGTCACATGGCACGTAATGCGTTCCTCAACAGAAATAACATGAAACAAGATGCTAGTCACTGCTAGTCAAGGAGATGATTCTATGATTCAATCATATTCCCCAAAATTGTGAAATTGACGCATGCAGGGACATGGTTCTTCCGCAAGGGACAGGACAAAACTGCGTTTTTTTTCTGCGTGTGCCTGTTCGTGTCGCGTTAAATTGTCAAAAGTGGACATGTCATGCTGATCTGCTGAACATCATTTTGTGTGCATCAGGAGCCAGCTGATCTTTTGCGCAAAGAACCAGAGTCAGAGTCTCCGTTAGTTTTACTCAACATTCCCTTCTCACTGCTCAATCTCAATTCTTTTCATTTGCCGAGTCCGGACACGTGGGCAATGCCAACATCGTTCTTTACGCTTCATTCCAAGTACTGCAGTCCCTTCCTGAGCTGTGCGAATGCGAGAGACTGGGCCAAATTGGCCACGATTTTGGTATTTTTTTATTCATTATGATTCTTATGATCCAGTTGTGACATCTAGAGATTGCTACAAGTTTGTGGACATTCGAGAGTCGAGAGACAGCCGACGTAAAAAACACGGTTCTGGAGGTCCCGAACACTTCCAGCACATGCGACTTTGCCTCAGCTGGAAATCTGAGAGCAGAATCGTTTTGCTCCCGGCTCAAAAGCTTTCAAGTGAGGCCTTTGGCTTCTGATCCTGATCTGCCTTTGCAGATCAAGCATGATCTGGTTCGGTGATGTTTTGGTTGAAGTCGTACCACCACAACCAGCAAGGCTGCAATATTTTCGCAGGATTTCTATGCATTTCTCGCTCAGGATTGGTGTTTGATACCACCTTCTGTGGAGACTACGGTATGATGCTGAGACAACTGATGTTGGACACCTGGAACATCCTTGAGATGTGCAAGTTGGGCAAGGTGATGCGACCTTTTCCAGCAGCTGTCCTGCGACAGGTGGGAGGGAAGAGGTTTGTTTCAGGATGTTTTAGGATGGTTTCAGAGCTGTCGATGTCAGTGGCATGCCAGGCATGTCGTGCAAAGACTACGTGCAGAAGAATCCACATGTCAGAGCCAAAGATGGGAATCATGAGCTGGCCGTGCTGAGTGCCATGTCGGAGCAGCGATATATTCTGGATCCCAAAATCCTTGGAGAGGGAGGACACCTATAGGACCTATATCCAGAGTCTCCACATTGTTGGAGAATCCTCGCAACCACCTAGGTTTTCTCGGAGGCTTATTGGTCCATCCGCACGCTGGACATTTATAGACGATCGTGGTAGCCCTGGTGGCCTCATAGAGTCGTCGTACAGCATACTGGAACAGTCTGAGCCTGGTTTCATGGTGAGTAAATGGTTCTTGGGATGCAAGGAGCGAGCAGCCTGGTGTGTTATCCGCTCCAGTTGGAGTGAGCTATGTGGGGAAAGGCATGTTTGATCATGTTGACTCTTGGGAAGCAAAGGAAACAGATGAGCTGATGAGCCATGTTGCTCATGGGATCTCTTGGGTAAATTTCACACAGATGCACTCAGGGAATCATAGGGAATCATAGGGAAGGCAAGTATGACCCTCTTCATCCAGTGCCAGGAAAAAGTCAAGCGGCCCAGCTCTGGATGGACTTTCGTTCCCTGGCGTGCTGATTGTTGCTGTGCCGTCCAGATGAGTTTTATGGTGGAAGATGGACTCATTGAAAGTTTAGAATCGGTTTAGAACATTCAGTAGGCATGGGCAGTTCGGGCAAGCTCAGGGATCTTGGCGGTAGACTGTTTGATATCACAGGCAAAGTCCCCTGACTGTGGATCCTTGGGTTGCAACATCTAAGTCTGGCCTTATCCTGATTTCCTTGGTCCTGAGCTCAGCAGTTTTCACAGGCTTGGGAATTCCAGATGCTGCTGGCTGCTGGCTGGCTGCAGGGCATGACGGGCTTGATCGGCATTTGCTACGCCATGCTGAACAAGGTCCGGGGTACGGGGCAGTGACCGGGACTGGAGGACTCTGTCAATCGGCATCTATGGCTGTGTCGGTTTGGGCACAATACCAGCTACATCTTTCACTGTGCACATCCCTTTGAACTTGGCCTTGACCAGCTTTGAGCACTTTCAATTCAGGCAGATGAGGCAAGTCTGGTGGATCAAGAAATGCAAGGCGCACAGCTGCCAAACAAAGGATCTTCCTGGAAAATGAAAGGAGGGAAGTGAAGCCTTGGCATTGCCATCCAGTGAAACTCAAACTGTGGAACTGACCTGGGAGTTTGGCGTCTGGCTGCTAGTTTGGCCCGGTTTGGCAAACTTTGGTACATTTTGGTGCTGATTTCGAGAAAGCAAGTTGCACCACTGGTCACGACACGCCAGGCTTATCCAGCTGCATGGAGGACGTGAGAGAGGCTCGTAGCACAAGGGCTACCGGGTCGGGTACCGACTGGAGAGTTTTTGGAAGACCAGCAGGTCCATGCCGTGCCACGCTGCGCCACGCAGCGCCCTGCTGTGCCATGAAGCTTTGCCATGCTTTGCCGTGCTGTGCCATGCAGCTTCATGCTGTGCCATACTGCCTAATACTGCCATGCTGTGCCATACTGTGCCATGCACCACGCTGTTCCCTGTACCTCCAAGATTGATCTGGGAGTCTTTTTGAAACAGATCAGTGTTTGTGGAGAAAGACATGGAATCTGGGATTTGGAATCTTGACCCTCTTGGTCATCGTGAACAGATGGATGTTGAGACCAACGTGGATCAAACTCGTGGGGGCCTCAAACAGAACGATTTTGGATGACGTTTTTTTTCTTTAAATATATAAAAACACAAGATTATCAAAATGGGAAAGTGTCAAAGGAATCACGGAGTAGTAACTGTTTTTGGACGTCACGGTTTTGAGCACGATCTTCAAGAAAGTTCGAAATGTGGCCACCTTATGCTGTGATCATGAGACACGGTAAGACACCGACAGTAGACTCGCTGCTTTGGTACGGATTCTGATCATCGTAGGAAGGCATACAGTGACAAGTGTGGCCAAAATGAACCAGAGAAAAGGAGCAATGCATAACTTTTTAGTACATTTTTATAAGAGTGTGTTGTGCACAGTACATCTGTTTTTTCGGTCGCAATTTCTTGAGACGACCTGAGATGTGGTCGCTTTATCCTGTTGGATGCTGTTGGATCATGTTGGATCGGGTGAGGTCGTTGGTTCTCCAATGCCTTTAGCGGTTTGGTACTGAACCTGTCTGAGGCCAGGGTTCCTGGTGGAACTGGTGGAACTGGTGGAACTGGTGGAACTGGAAACGTTGCTGGTGAGCCCTGGCAGGTCACAGGTATGCAGAGGCCAGAGGCGGTGCATCCTCAACGTACCCAGCGCTGGAGCCTGAAAGATCAGAGCTGGCACGGCTACTAACGACTATTCCTTTAGCGGCTAGGACCTGATGCTCGAATCATCTGAAAGATATGATTCAAGCATGAACTTTGGGAAATGTCTTTGGGAAATGTTGCAGACATGGAGTTTGGTATTGAAATTTGCATTTGTCGTGTTTGCATCAAGGAATAGAACTTGAGGAAAGCCACCAGCAAGCTGCCGGGTTCCCAGATGGCCCAATCCATCGCAATCAGATGCGACTAGGCTTGGCAGAGGGAAACTGCTGATCAGCTTCATAAGTTAAAGTGAAAGTACTGATGTTGGGATTGAAACAATGAGAGTATGATGAGTATGATAAATTATGTCTAATTATATTCCTGGGGTTAGTTCCAGCGGCAAACAGCCGGTGGATCTTGGTAAGCTTTGTAAGCAATGCACAACCAGTGGATCTTTGTTTCTGGAATTTTGCTTGTAACTTGTACTTGTTCATTTGTGAGATCTCAATGCCTTGGGAGTTCCTGAAAAGTCTCTGAGGCAATGGGTTCTCATCCTACTAGACAGTTGGAGCGGAATTTTGGTTGGGACCCAGAAAGCTGCTGGATGACTCTTGAGCCCATGATTTGATTCATGAGATGACTCAAATGACTGACTAGAGTTCCTGTGAGACTTTTTGAGACCAGGTGCATGTTTTTCACCATGTTTCACCATGTTTCACCATGTTTCAGCAGTTATTCTTAGATGTTCTCAATTTTGTCCCAACCTACTCAGCTACTTCAAGTCACTTCTTTCCAAGGCAGTCAAGATCGAATGAACAGTGGAAATCTGGTCCGACCGCCACCACCCACGAGCTTCATGTCACGTGCCTCCGCAGTCACATCTCAGGTGAACCTGGGGAACCCGGGGAGCGGTTGTAGTGTTATGGCTATGGCTGCTATGGCTGTACTCAAATATTCTGCAGTTCGAGTGGTGAAGTGTTGAGAACTGTTGATTCCTTCGCTAATTTCAACTGCTAGATGAAATTAATTGAAATTAGATGAATCTTCGTTGAGTTCTTTTGGGCCTTCGACCAGTCGACCACATCAGACCGATCAGAGCTGCCAATGACAGGCTTGGAGTTCTGTCATGGGGCGCTATCAGCCACCGGCAGGTGCAGTAGAGGGTGAGGTGTTGAGAGCTAGCTCTACGTGGCTTAGCAAAGCCAGATTTGTGCAGAATGACAATTTCCGTACTATTTCCATTATGATAAGATTATCCAACATCACAGCACGATATAGCACGTCATAACTCTGAAGTAGCTCAGAGAGCCGTGAAGCCCAGACTATTTGGGTGTCCCGAGAATTTGGAAATACGATTGCGCCACAGGTCGCGCGCCGTCTACCAACTCTTTAGCCAACTCCCAGTTTGGCTCTCATCCATCCATGTTGGAGCCTCAATAGGATGCAGACCTCCACATTTTCAACGGTGCAACATGGTGCACAAAAACTTCCATTGCTGCTCTACTTTAATGCATGGATATTTATGGTAGATCAGAATACTGCACTGATGCCTTTCGGGCGATTCCAAAACTCTTGGGAGATTTGAAGATGTCTTTCAAGGAGTGCCTAGACGTTGTACGCTGTCCTCCTGTCCGCCAAAACGTTGAAAGGCCAGACGGCCATCCCTCGCCAGGCAGACCTATATGCATATACCACAAGGAACTCAAGGAAGTCCTGTTTCAGCTGCCTCCAGCCCCAAAGGCTGGTGTGGGACTGTGGGAAAAGGTAGGTATACTGTGGGCACTGTAGACATCTGTAGACCTGTAGACTGACATTCATGGCTGCTGCTGGTACCCATGTCGATGTCAGTTATTTGAGAAGCAACGGAAGCGCATCCTCCAAATCGGATCATATTGGATCTGAAGTCGGACGAGGCAAACTGGAGTGACAACTTAACATTTCAAAGAAGTAGCTGAAGTAGCAGTGCTCTGAGGTAAAGACACAACAAGGTTTTTGATTGCAGCTGGGCAATTGGTAGAGAGCGGTGTGAATCAGGTCCCCACCATGTCACGCCATGTTGCGCCCTGTGAATGTTCCATCCATTTCCAGGTTGGAACTACCAGCGACAGCACCTTGGTCAGCACTGTGAAGGAACGCAGGCGTTGTGTTCCCAATACTACGTTGTTTCTGTATGTTTCTGTGGTTTCGAAACATTGAAACCATGTGAAGAACCCTTGACCTTGACCAAGTTCCAAGAATTAGGTTGGATGAACTAGGTGTGTGTTTCTCTAGCTTTTTGCCGTCGAAATGTTGGCACACCATAGGCCGAGCAATACTGGAGTAGCAGCTTCCAGCGGCTGGCAGTTGGCTTTGTCTTCAGGTTTGGGGATGAAATGGCAGAGTGTGGAGTTGCACGTGGGTCTGTCACTGACATGGTGAGGATTCAAAGAGCTTCTATTTTATTTATTGACCTGTTGGCAGTAGCGAGCTAGAGTCTAGAGATATGGACTCACATGAAGCTGTCACCAAATCATCCAGTTGCTGAAATAGGAGCTGAGCAGGGGTGTGTTTAACTGCTTAACCTTACTCAAGACACAAGACAGCCGGGAAAAAGACCTGAGTCAGGACAGTCAGGACCTGAAATACCCACAGCATGCTTCGTGCCGCATGCATCGCCCGCAGGAACCCGTCCATTGTATCAGACCGCCACATGATCTCCCTGCCGGAGCTGTGTGGTGCCGGGGCAATAACGACTCGAGACGATGGGTGCCGAGGCAGTACTTTATGCCTTCGCAGAGTTTCTTTCTACCGCTTTGGAATAGGGATTTTCTGTACTTCACCTAAGACATCATAAGACATAAGCATTCAGATCGGACTTTCCAGACAGACTCTACACACGAATGGGTTCATTGTGTAAGGAGTGAAGGATCTCAACCAAGATGCGAAATGATGTGGATAGAAATGCATTCATGAATCAATGCCACGGTTTGATCGGATTGTTTCAACAGCGTGGCTTGGATCTCTGAGGCCAATACCAAAACTGAACCGCGGCTTGGACATTTTATTTGGCGCAGCAAAGGATGCGCATGGCAACTGGGAAATGTGCGGAGATGTTCACCGAAACTCCAACCCTTTCATGTGTAGCCTGTGGTCGTCGCAGTGCAAGCGAAATGCCTTGGCATTTTCTCAGTTGCCCGATTTCTAGCATACTGCGGTTCAGAGGGTTGCGCTGTGGAATGCTTCATGGACTAGATACATTTCTCACAAAAACATGCTTTTAAGTTGCAACTTCACGCAACAATCCTCTGTCACCGCTTCCACCATTTGTTCAGCTTTGCAAAGACGCAGTGAAGAGAAAAGCTCATCAAAGTGTCATTGTACATTTACAAAGCCCAACATGTTTTGGGAAAGCGGGTGCCCGTTTTCTATATACTCCCAAGGCAATGGTCCATCATTTGGGAATCACAAAACGACCAGATCATTGGCCTTTTGGGCACTGCGTCGGACTTGGATCGTCTCTGTCGTATTCTTTAGTTGTCTTCCCTTTGCGGGATCTCTGATTGGAGATGCCATTGCAGTTGTTGCACCACATCTGATAGAGTCTGAGAACAAAAAGAAGCTCTGCACAGGCGGTGGGAGTCAGGTTTACATCGACTCTGGATAGCCGTGACAAACTTGTGCAAAACATTGGACCATCGGTTTATGACACGGGGCTGACTCAAAAGCATGAGAAAAAAGACTGAGCAGAGTGTTTGAAGGAACTTCTTAGCGAGGCACTGATAACCACACGAGGAAATCACCATAAGCAATATGATTTGCGCTGAGCAATCCTACTTGCAGCATGTCAAGTGACCATGAGTGATCCGACAAAATCGAACAAAGCGCGATTCCACAACTACGTTCTCACGATTCCAGAACCAAAACCACGCGATTCCAAAACCAAACCACGCGATTCCCCAACCAAAGCCGGCGCGCTTCCACATTTACATTCTCACGATTCCACAACCACACTCCCACGATTCCAAAACCAAAATCTCAGGATTCCACAACCAAACTCCCACGATTCCACAACCAAAACCTCAGGATTCCACAACCAAAATCTCGCGATTCTACAACTAACAACTATTGATTCCACCAGGAAGACTGCCGCTACTTACTTTCATTGTAGAAAATTCTTGACAAGCTACAAGAAACTTAAATCCCCCACCCCCGCAAAACAATAGATCAAATTTAAGTATTCAGCCAGCAGCCCCGCTTCTTAGGGAAGACTACCGCTACTTACTTTCATTATAGAAGATGCTTGACAAGCTACAAGAAACTTAAAAATCCCCCACCCTCGCAAAACAGTAGGTCAAATTTAAGTATTCAGCCAGCAGCCCCGCTTCTTAGGGAAGACTACCGCTACTTACTTTCATTATAGAAGATTCTTGACAAGTTACAAGACATTAAAAAATCCCCCACCCCCGCAAAACAATACATCAAATTGAAGTCTTCAGCAAGCAGCCCTGCTTCCTAGGGAAGACTGCCGCTACTTACTTTCATTATAGAAGATTCTTGACAAGTTACAAGAAACTTACAACATCCCCCACCCCCGCAAACCAATAGATCAAATTTAAGTATTCAGCCAGCAGCCCCGCTTCTTAGAAGATGCGACCGGAACTTGGGTTAGAGCAGTTCATGTCTTGGTTTGGTTCAAATCCCTTTTGGTTTTGGAATAACCTGTTTTGGTTATGGAATAATTGTTGGTTGAGGAATCATACGGTTTGGTTAAAGAATATTTCGTCTTAGTTGTGGAATAATCGCTGGTTGAGGAATAACACTTCATGGTTGAAGAATAATACGTTTTGGTTATGGAATAATCCTTGGTTGAGGAATAATACGTTTTGGTTACAGAACAATATGTTTTGGTTATGGAAGAATCTGTTGACCCGACAAAATCCGTAGGGCCATGTTGAGCCCAAATTCTGCAGGGATTCCAGTGGAATAAAAGCTATCTTGGTCTATCTTGTCCTTAAACTACAATTTAGCAGCTGTTGCAATTGCTTCCTCGGCATCTTCAGTGTGAGCGGATTTTTGGCCGGGTTTCTGTCCGAACCATCAGAATTCCGTGCGAAACTTCGCCGCATCAATTTGAAACCACGTGTGAAACCGAACCAGGCGTGCTTTTGTTCCAACGTTATGTTTATTGAATTTTTCTGTTTTGCCATAGGGGGCTGTTTGTCTGCCATGTTCCAGTTTAGAGATAGTTTTATCACTTGAATACGATGCAAGGCAACATGAGAAGTGTGGGTTCCACTTCAAAAAAGGTTGGCATCGCCCCGCCCGGCCCCATATGCAACGTACGATCGACGCTAAATGCATGAGCGTAACGTAGATTGAAACACGTGGGCAATGGCAGGAGAAGGTGTCTTTAGCGAAGCATGCAGTGCACGCACCACTGCTTGAGAGGATGTCGTAACGTAACGGAACATGACATACGTGCACTAGTTCATGAACATATTTCAATGGGTAGCCTGAAGTGGGCGCGCAAGTGCACCTCGCAGTGCAAGTGCGTGGGAAGACTTCACAGCGTAGCATGAAACACGATTGCCAATGTGTGAGAATATTTCGGGCCGTAGGTAGCACCTGGTTTTACGCAATTGACCATGAGCGGTGTTAGCTCCACTCGGGCCCACCCCATGCGCAATGTAACCTCCGTCGCGGGCTCACACGAACACAAACAGAATTGAAATTGCTGACCACAACCAACAGGCTGACGCCGGCTTGACAAAGAGAAACAAATGTGCAGATTCGGAGAGGCTGTCAATGGCGCCCTCCGCAAAGACAACAGTTTAGCGCCTTAACACACATTGCGAGTTGGGAGCGCATGCTTGTGAAGTCTTGTGACTTGATCCATGCAATCGTTGTTTCCGTGGGAATATAGGGCTGATGAGATTGTTGCACGTTGCTGCGCCTGTATAAGGACGGCAAACCGTTTTGAATTACAGTGGCAAGTTGCGCCGGGACAGGCTTGTGACACACTCTAACGAAACACGACAGCCTCGAGGGATGCTCCTGGACAGTGTTGACGGCACTGTCGCAAGGCATTTTGGCGAAACATTTTTGAACAACACCTTGGTGCGATCTTCGTGCAATCCAATTTCGAGAAAAAACGAACACTTGTGTGACAGTCGTGCGGAACATACTTCCAAGGTGCTTTTGAGTACACTTTTGCGAGAACTTTGGTACAACATTCTCGTCAAACGGAAAGGACTTTTGTAAAACCTTCTTGGCAAAGACTTTGCCAGACACGTGTTGGAACAGATTTGTCGGCAATATTGGGGGACGTGGGGGGCACGCTTCTGAGATATTTACGTTCCTGTGGGGTATTTGTAGAGCATTCTTTAGACAATTTGTGGTGAGATACTGGGGCGAAAAGTGTTCAATCATTTTCTTTTAGGATGCAATTTTTGCTTTGCCCACCAGAGTCAGAGTTTGCAGGCGAATAGGAAGAGCGGAACGCCAAAATGGCTCACTCGCAGAGGGATCCATCAATCGAGCGCCTCTTCGGATCTTGGCGGCCCATGGCGGCCCTAAGCAGAAGAGTGGCGCAGTTCACGCCACACTAAGAAAGAAAGGGTGAACCAACCTCCCTTGCGAGGCCACGGCGGCCACGGCTTCACTTCCTTCCCCCCCAATGGCCTCGAAAGAGCTACTGCAATTCATCCAACATCTCCTGGATTTTTCCCGAATGCGTAGCAAGGGTTCCCGTTTCACTCTGGGGGTCCGGGGGCTGAGGGTGTGTTCGCTCGACGTTGCTTTTACGTTTGCAACCGTTCGCAAGCGTCCGCAACCGTTCGCAACTGTCCGCGCGATTGCTATATGGCCGTGCCTATGGTAAGTTCTGCAGAAGGGGTGCTTTTTGGAGGTTTCAAGCGTCTCCTTGCTTCGTTGCGCGTGGCAAGTGTGGCACTTTGTGACATTCAGACGTGTTTTGTAACGTGTCGAAAGTCGTTTCGTGTGGCAGGCGCAATACTTTTGCGACGTTTTCAGAAGATGCGTTGCAGTATTCGTGGCAGGCGCAGCACTTTGAACGTGTCCATCGTCATTTTGCGTAGCAGGCGCAGCACTTTAGACGTGTCGTGTTGGGTGTTTTTTGTAAATCGCATTGGCACGGCTGCGTCAAGTGGCGACAAGGTGCAAATTCCGTGGCAGGCGTGGCATTTTGTGTGATGTGCTGAAAATTGACGGAAGCCTCGTACGAAACATCGATTTTGAGATAGCAAAATTTCAGGTTCCTGAGAAAAATCGTAGGAAAGCGTTGATTTTGATGTTACAAAATGTCAAAATTGGAGGAAGTCTCGCACGAAATGCTTGTTTTGGTGCTCCTCGTGTCTCGTCTGGAGTCTCTGGTTTTCCTGTGGCCTCGCCGTGTCTATGGGGGAAGCTGCAAAACCTCTCCTTTTCGAAGGTTTCCAAGCAGGTTGTCATGTCGTTTTGCGTGGCAGGCGTGGCACTTTGTGACATTCCAGCTTGTTTGATAACGTGTCGAAATGCACCCACCTGTCTAGTCTCTGGTTTTCCTGTGGCGTCGCCGTGTCTATGGGGGAAGCTCCACACTCTACACTTTACACTCCACACTCGACACTTTACACCCCTCTCTCCGCACTCCACACTCCACACATTACACTCCACACTCCACACTCCACACTCCACAATCTACACTCCACACTCCACAATCTACACTTTACACTCCACACTCCACCCTTTAGACTCCACACTCCACACTCCGCACTTTACACTCTACACTTTACACTCTACACTCCACACTTTACATTTTACACTCCACACTTTACACTTTACACTCCTCACTCCACACTCTACGCTCCACACTCTACACTTTACACTCTACACTTTACACTCTACACTCCACACTCCACACTCTACACTTTACACACTCCACACTCGTCACTCCACACTTTACACTCCACACTCCTCACTTTACACTCCACACTCCACACTCCACACTCCACACTTTCCACTCCACACTCCCCACACTCCCCACACTCCCCACACTCCCCACACTCCCCACACTACACTTCACACTCCACACTCCGCACTCCACACTTTGCACTTTACACTCTACACTCCACACTCTACACTTTACACTCTACACTTTACACTCTACATTTTACACTCCACACTCCACACTTTACACTCCTCACTCTACACTTTACACTCCACACTTTACACTTTGCACTTTACACTCCTCACTCCACACTTTACGTTCCATACTCCACACTCCACACTTTACACTCCACACTCTACACTTTACACCACACTTCACACTCTACACTCTACACTTTACACTCTACACTTTACATTCTACACTCTACACTCTACACTCTACACTCTACACTACATTCTACACTCCACACTTTACACTTTACACTTTACACTCTTCACTCTTCACTCCACACTTCACTCTCCACTCTCCACACTCCACACTTTACACTTTACACTTTGCACTCCTCACTCCACACTCCACACTCTACACTCCACACTCCACACTCCACACTCCGCACTCCACACTCCACACTCTACACTTTACACTCCACACTCCACACTCTACTCTTTACACTCTACACTTTACACTTTCCACTCCACACTCCACACTCTACACTTTACACACTCTACACTCCCCACTCCACACTTCACACTCCACACTCCACACTTTACACACTTTACACTCCCCAGTCCACACTTTACACTTCACGCTCCTTACTTTACACTCCACAGTCCACACTCTACACTTTACACTCCACACTCTACACTTTCCACTCCACACTGCAGACTGGTAACAGGGGAATTTGTACAAGACTGTTCAAATAAACTATTGCAGAAAAGTGTTCTGCGTGACTGCATATCCATGTGTTTCCACATCTGTGCCATTAACATGCGTGTGAGCATTCGGGTTCGTGGGTTTCATCTTGTTTTTTTGAATTCTCCACGCGATGCTTGCCCGACTTCCTCTTTTCCCATGCGCGCGGCAAATGGAAACTTCATAGTTTTCTTCATAGCTGGGAGATTGGGGACCGCTAAACGTTTTTCGCGCTGACGCACCGATACACCCAGACACCAATGTAAACACAGCGATCGGCGTAACCGCGTAACGGCGCAATGGTGTAAACGCAGCGATTGGTGTTAGAAGAAACTCGCAGGTATAGCCTGGAGATTGTTCAAATACTTTTTTTGTCATTTTTCGTTGTTTTTTTTCGTATTTTTTTTTGTCATTTCAGTTTTGTCTGTATTTTTTTTGTCATTTCAATTTTGTCTATCATTTTTTTTGTCATTTTTTTGTCGTTTTTATGTAATTTCAGTTTTCGCTTGTTATTCTTTTGTCATTGTTTTGTCATTTGGTGGACATTTTGTCATTTTTTTGTCCTTTTTTGATCATTTTGGCGCCATTTTCTTCAAAATATGGAAACAGATCGAAAATTGTTTAAAAAATGTCAAAAATGACAATGAAAAATGCAATTTTTGCAACCTGCAAAGTTGTCATTTTGTTTGTCATGTTTTTGTCATTTGGTGGAAAATTTCTCATGTTTTGTCATTTTGATTCCATTTTCTCAAAAATATTGAAAAATATCGAAAATTATTTGAAAAATGACAAAAAAAACAAACAATGACAATGCTTCGAGAAAAATGCAATTTTTGCAACCTGCAATTTTGTTTGTCATTTTTTTGTCATTTGGTGGAAAATTTATCTTTTTTTTATCATTGTGGTGCCATTTTCTCAAAAATATAGAAGATATGTAAAATTGTTCGAAAAATGACGAAAAAAACCAAAAAAATGGCAATGCTTCGAGAAAAATGCACTTTTTGCAACTGGCAAAATTGTCATTTTGTTTGTCTGAAATGTGCAATGAAGCATGAATGGAACATGCAGGATTCATATCCTCTCCCGAGATCGCGGCCCAAAATTCAGGTAGGATGGACGAACCCAGGGCCGTGCGGGATAGATTGTGCCATGGCGGATGGGACGAAGTAGCCCTCGCCGGAGTGACCGATCTGCCTTGGGATCGAAGCTTGGAGATCCTAGCTCCGGTGGTGGGTCGGCTGTCCTTCGGTGAGGAGCTCGAACTCCGGGCGGTGCTTTCGAGGGCTGCTTTGCAACAGGACCTTAGCAATCGGGCTTTGCGACTCAAGCGGCGACGTTCTTTGTGGATGAAGCCTGGAACCGCCGCTATGGACGGGATGCCGAGACACCGCTGGCACCATTGATACGGTGGGAAGCCGTGCAGAGAAAGGCTCCGGCCGCAAAGTGGCCCTCCAGGTTTCAGAGAGGGCTTGAGCATCTCCGAGACGGAGATTCTCGTGAAAAGTTGGAAAGCAAGGAGAGGGAACGAGTGGTGCATCTGCTTGCCTCGGCTCTCTGCGCGGCAGCTCTTTGGAGGCCTGATGCTGATGAGGAAGGTAAGCCAGCCTCGGTCTTGGTGCAGCAGAGGATTGCTATGGGCAGGAGGTTAGGCACCCTTCGGCAGCATGTCAGGAACATCTCCAGAATGGCTCAGTTTTGCACGGTCAGCTTTGGCTACGGATGGTTCCGGCAACCCAGGGACTTCTTTGATCTGATTTCTTCAAGACTGGCTGAACCGTGCGGCAAACATGTTCCACGGGCTCTCTTCAACTCGGTCATCTTTGCTGAGCAGGCGGCCGAGCTGGAAGAAGGGCTACGGTTGTCAAAGAATCAAGGTGTTCGAAATTTCCTGAAGGAAGTCGAGTCGGCCGGGGGTTGGAAAACAGGCAGAGTGGTAAAGAAGGCGCAGCCTTTTGGGGTAGTCATGATCCTTGCTCTGGAGGACCTCGTGATGCGAAGCGCAGCTCAGGCATATATGCGCTGGTATGCCTGGATCAAGTTGCTGAAGGTTTGGGCGGCGCTTCGTTGGAGTGACTTGCAAGGGATCCCGAACGACTTTCTGCATCTCCGGCACGAAGGTGTCCTTGAAGGAAAGATCACAAGGTCGAAGGCTGGGAAGAGGGTCGAGGTCATGTACTTCTACGTGGCGCCTGAGGCCTTCTTACTTTAAAAAAAAACTGGTTGAGGACCGGATGGGAGCTCAACTTGGAGCTATCCCGTCAATCAGGCCTGCATGGCCGAGACTACATGGTTCCCAAGCCGACGGTTGACCTGAGCGGATTCAGGAAGGCCATTGTCAAGTACCAGGATGCGGTCACCATGAGCCGAGCTTTTCTCTTGGCACTTCGAGCTGAAGTGCACTTAGAAGGGCAGGAGGGCCCTGGGGAAAGCCGTGCTCTTCTCATCCAGATGGCCACGGGCTTCTGGACGGAGCACTCTGAGCGAGGCACTATGGCGACTTATATGCAGATGTCGCATGTGGCACCAGAAATTCGGAAGATGGTTGGCCGCTGGTCGTTTTCTCAAGAGGAAGAGTACATGAGGCATTTAGAGACCTCGATACGGGGCGCACAAGCCAAGGTGGCGGCTTTTCTGAAAAGCTGGGATCCCAGCCTTCGAGTCCTTGAAGACCAGATCATAGCGAACCTTGGCAACTACCTCAGAGAGCGAGGCATTCAGGAGGATGCCATCGGAGACATAGCGCAGAACCTGGCGCTCCCGAAGGATGAGGCGGCTGATGTCGCTAATGACATGGAGAGGCTGGAGGGATTGAGACGGGTCCTTCAGGTGGAAGATGAGGCCTTATCAGGGAGGGCCACTTCTCAGTATTCCCCTTCAGTGGGGTTTCTTGCTCAGCCCGAGGAGATTGAAGAGACGGAAGATGAAGGAGAAGGGGATGGAGAGCCCATGATCGAAACCACAGGGACTTTCGTCTTTTCGATTGTGGGTTCGTGTCATCGAAGGACCCTTCACAGAGTGGGGGAGTGCTGGCGCGTTCCCGGTGTACATTACCGGAACTATCTATCGGCGGGAAATGATCGCCCTCCCTTGGCGGCCGGAGACCGCGAGTGCCGGGATTGTTTCCGAAGGAATCGGTCCATGGAGGATGAAGAGGAAGACGAGCTGGCCAGCTCGTCGAGCAGTCCGGAAGAGGACTGACGGTTGGCCGGGCCAAAAGGTTCAGGAGGGGGAAGCTGCTCAGCTGCTCGGTGCCTGTATGCTCGGTGTGCAGCCTTAGGAAGCGGCGGAGACGGCACGTTTTCACGGTTTTTTCAAAGGATTGCTTGTGGTTTTCGGTTCCAGCGGTTGGTTAGGTGTGCGGATTCGGTGCCTGTAACAGGGCGTCCCGTGTAACAGCGGGACATTTGTCGGCGGGCGGCGCGAATGGCGGCCAGGACGGAAGACGAGCTCCTCGAAGCCCTTAACGGGGACTTCCGGGGATTGCTCGACAACAAGAGGGTCTCTCGGGAGGTTCAAGCCACGCTTTCTCGGAGAGGAATTGATTCTACGGAAATGCTGGGTGTGATGGCTGATGATAGAGAAAGCTTGCGGGAAGTGGCCAGGACGCAGCTACAAATTGACCTGGCGGTGGACCCAAGCCAGGCCGTCATTCAGGCCAGGTTGGTGGTGGCATGGGAAGCCGCCCGGCAGCGGATGCAGATCAGAGGTGAGAAGGATGCCCATGCAGCTTCTGAAAGAGAGGCCAGGAGCATTCCTACCAATGAGTTCCTTGGGCTTCGGAGGCAATTTGAACGCCAGTACTACGAGCTTCGGGACGAGGAAGTTCCCAGTCGCAACTCCCTAGAGGACCTGGCGGAGCAGTTGGAGAGTGGAGACTGGCGGGCGATGTCTTTGAAGGAAATCGCTGCCAAGTCGGATGTGGAATCGGACTCCCAGTGGTCATCCCTCACGGTGGGAAAACTGGGACAGGTGCGGCTAAAGAAGTCCGCAGTAGAGACGGCAGCTCCGAAAGATTTGGAGGAATACCGGCAGAAACTCAAACTGTTGGGCCACCACTTCGTCTTCCTCCGAATGATGCATCCTAGCCGGAGAGAAATAAGAGATGTCACTCCTTTTACCTTCACCTCATTTGCGGACTACATGTTGTCAAAGAGGGTGGCGAAGCTCGCTTCGGAAGACGAGAACGGTCAGGTCTTCCATCACCCGACCTTGAAGCAAGTTCTCACTTATGACTTCTACATCCGAAAGAAGATGGTGGAGACCTTGCAACCGGATACCCCTCTGGCTCAATCCTTGAAGACTGCGATGGAATGCTCGGTGACCAAGGAGCGGTACTTCACCATGGTACTTCACCACTCCCTTGTCCGTCAGTGCGGCCGCCCAGTCAGCGTCGGCTCGGAGCCGTTCACCTGCGCCGCCAGCAGCGGCTAGCTGGTCGGGGCCAAAGGGATTCAAAGGACAAGGACGCAAAGGGAAGTCCAAGAAGGGAAAAGGAAAGGGAGCATTTCACTCCCTTACACCAGAGGGCCGGCAGATCTGCTACGCCTTCAATTCACCCACCGAGCGGTGCGACGGCTCGTGCAACCGTGTCCACTGCTGCCAGGTGTGCTTCGGGGGACATCCGGCTTACCAGCACGCAGCGGAAAGCAAGAAGGCATCCGGAGCACTGGGTGGAAAGGGCGAGGAATCCCCGGCCAAGGGGGCAGCAGCTTGACGGGATGGGCGGCCCAGGCTACGCGTCCTGTATTTGCATGCAGGGCCGGAGCGCAAAGCGAGTCTGGGCCAAGCTCTTCGGCAGCTTTGCACACAGGCCGATGTCGAACTCTTCTTAGAAGAATGGGACATTCTTTGCTCCCCCGATCATGACCTTTCGCAAGAAAGCGTTCAAGAAGAACTACTGAGGCGGGTGAGAGCCGGGCTTTAGGATTATATATTCATGTCACCTCCATTTAACACATGGAGCAGAGCCTTACATAGCAACCCGTGGGGGCCACGGCCATTACGTAACAAGTTTTGGCCTCGGGGGTTCCCCTGGTTGGAAGGCCATTTTCTGGAACTAGCACGCCTGGACAACGTGCTAGTCGATTTTTGTTTCACCATATGTCACGTGATCTCGGGAAGTAAATTGGAATACCTTGTTACGGTTATTTGTGAGCATCCGGAAGACTTAGGCTGCTCTACCAACCTCCAAGCGAAGCTCATTTTTCCAGCTTCCATCTGGCAGTTGCCTGCTTTCTGGGCCCTTCTCAACAAAATGAACTCATGGCATACGGTTGCATTTTTCCAATGCAGGTTCAACATTGAACGCCTCAAACCTACTCGACTTCTTTCAAACATTCCTGCAGTTCTAAACTTCGGCGTTTCGGGACCACCGCTGTTTGATTCAGAAGGGTACTATGTGGGCCCTCTGCCAGCCAGGTGCACTCATGGCGGTCACCCGCCGTTAATCAAACAACATGCACACGATCCCTTCGCCACCACGGACACTGGGGTTTACCCCCCTGCCATGGATGTCGCTTTGGCGGAGCTCATTTTTCAGGACTTCTCAGCATCTCTCCCCGTCGGTGGGGGCAAAGTCGCGATGCCAAAAAGCCCTGGCGAAGGCCCTGCAACAGGGGTCAGCCCTGTGACAGGGGCTCACGAGGAAGGTGGCCCCGTAACGGGGGTAGGAAAGGAAAAAAGGGACCCTATAACAGGGGTCGGCCCTGTAACAGGGGTTCACGTGGGAGGTAGCCCCGTAACAGGGGCAAGAAAAGGGAAAGGAGACCCCGTAACAGGGGTCGGCCCTGTAACAGGGGTCAGGGTGAGAGAGACCAAGGAAGTTCTCGAAGGAAAGGTGCCCGTAACGGGGTCAGGTAGGAGAGAAAGGGACCCTGCAACAGGGGTCGTAGAAGGAAAGGGGCCTGCGACGGAGACGGAGCAGGAAGCAGGCTTCGACGGCGTGGAGATGGGAGAGGATCACCCCGTAACAGGGGTCTCGGAGTGGTCTGTGACAGGACCTGAAGAACCAAAAGGTGGTTGCCGAAGGGGCACACTAAGGGCTCATTACAAGGGTCGGTCGCGGCCCTTCCACGATGGGCTGGGTCTTTGCTCAATGGGCCGTAAAGCCGCCAAGGACCGAGACCCGAGGCTGGGGTCGACTGCGGCCTGTCTCAAGGGCATCTTTTGGGAGGCGTTCGCCGAATGGCTGGAACCTTTGGGCCGGGCGGGGGAGCTCCGGCTTATGGCGCAGGTTCTTTGCGGAAGGCTGGAGGACCATCCCTTTGGGTCCTTGCCGGAAACAATTCGCGCAGCATGGACGCGTCGGTTGGAGGCGGAAGGGTTTCATCCGTCCCGTCGCCCAGGGGATCGGTCATCGGCCATCGAGTTGCGTCTTCTCCTGAACGTAGCTCGGACCGTTGGGGATCCCGACTCCGAGTACCTAGAGGACATGGCGGCGATCGGAGTTAGGCTGTGCACGAATGGAGAGATCCCCCGGGTGCCTGCGGTGTACGAAGAGAAGACAAAGTGGAACCTCCCGGACCCTACAGAGGACCACTGGACCGACGAGACGGTGAGGGAGAATTACCGCTCGGCATTGGACCATATGGAGAAGGTGAAATCTCAGATCCAAAAGGATATAGAGAAGGGCGATATCCTGGAGATGTCCCTCGACGAGGCCAGGGCCCGCTTTAGCAATTCGCTAAAAGTGGCCAGTCTTGCGGCGGTGCCGAAGGACCCGGTCTGGGATCAAATCCGAGTGGTACACGATGCGACCCACGGAGTGGAGGTGAATCACCACATAAAGGTTGGCAATCGGATGCGATTTCCCCTCTTCGACGACCTAGAGGCTGCGATGGCTCAGTTTATGGCGGAGGCGGATTCCCGTCGATTGGCCATGGCCTATGACTACAAAGGCGCTCACCGCCTCATTCCAATTCACCCTTCGGACTGGGGGTTGCAGGCTTTCCGATTGGACGAGACCGATAAGGTGTATGTCAACTGCGTGGGCACGTTCGGTGTGGCCTCCGCGGCGTTCTGGTGGTCGCGTTTGGCCGGCACTCTCCAGCGGGTAATGTGGCGATTCTTGCCTTGTAATGACCCGTTGTACGCACTGCTCTATGCGGACGATGGACTGGCCATGGTCTCTGGGCCCGCTTATCGGAAGATTCTTCTGGCCTTGCTCTTGTTTCTTACAGTGATGGGCGCTCCGTTATCTTGGCCGAAAAC